AAAAAAAAAAAAAAAAAGAAAAGAAAAGAAGAAAAAACACTCAGCAAAACCAATCTACATGTTTTGGACAAAAAAAAAAATAGAGGTTGTATTCTCAGTGTCCGACTCGGAATTATGTTGCCGCCTCTCTGTGCTTTTGGCCTCTGTGTGGCCGTGTTTTGCCAGCATGAGATACTGTCCCCTCTGGAGGATTTTAGGGGAGGAAGAGCCACATCCCCAGGGATTTGGAGGAGGCTCTGGTTCCCCCGAACCTCTGGGGAGTCCTGGGTGTTGGCTGGAGGACTGGGGGGATGTTTGATCCAGGACTTTCTGAGTTTTCCCTGATCATGAGTTGTCTGCCTGGGCCCTTTTCACAACTGCTGCTGCCCTGGGGACAGGTGAGGCAGGCTATTCTGGGGCTGCAGGCCAGGATAGAGGCTGCCTGGGCCTCCTGGTCTCCAAACTGGTTGATCACCGGCCTCTATCCTTGGCAGACACCCTGTTGCTGAGGCCCAGGGGCAGGCACCTGGTCTGCCCCAGGTCCAGAGGGCTTCCCAGTAAGGCCCAGTGATCCCAGCGTCCCAGCAACAAAACCGCCTGCCTCCCTTGTGAGCTGCCAGCTCCCACAGCCATCCCTAAGCCAAAGGTGAGGGTGCAGCCTTCACAGGGGATGCTGCAAGTACCAAGACAAAGTCTGGTCCCTTTTCCAGCCTCAGTTTCCCCATCAGTTAAAGGGTGAAATATTCCTGCCCAGCCTATGTTGCAGAGCTGTTGGGGGATCAAACAGGACGGCGAAGTGAAGCCCGATGTACCTGCAAGAACTGACAGGATCCACTGGCTGGACCCCTGCTTCATTCTGGGCCTTGACCAGCCCCCACTTCTCCCCCACCTGCCCCTCATTCCCCTCTTCGGTGCCTGTCAACTGCTTATTAGCAGTGGACTGTGGGGAAAGAGCCATGCTTTGGGGGTTAGTAGGATTCCATCCCCAGTTCTGACCAGACTTGCTGTGTGACCTTGGGCAAGTCAGTTTCCTGCTCTGGCCCTGGGTTTTCCCACCAGGGGTAACTGAGCTGGAGGACCCCAGTGTCCCGATCTTTATTTGCTGACATGCCTCCCGTCTACCGTGTCCAGTTCCAAGTGCCAGAGAAATGGAGGCAAGGTCCCTACCCCGGGAGGAAATGGCCCCACGAGGAAGGCCACTCCTGTGGGCGGGTAGTCAACCAGTGTGGACCACAGGCCATCAGCGTGATCCTGAGGCAGCACGCAGGGGAGGCTGGCAGACAAAGCGGCCCAGAGCCCACCCCCACCAGACAGTGAAACTCTGCTCCTCTAAAACATCCTGTAGACGCAAAAAAATCCAGACCTAAGACCAGACCTAGGCTCCAGCATGCAAACACCTTTATAGGAAAGTATTCTCCCAGGATTACGCACACTGTGGCACTAATCCTGACCCACGGCCTCCTGTCTCCCAAAGGGAGACCCTTTGGGGGATGTGTTTGCCAGACTCCCCATGCTGGTTTCTTTGTTACTATTTGTCTGGGGGCGGGTGGGGGGGGGCG